CACTCAATGCAGCAAGGGGCTTTAGGAATGGCTCAGACATGTGTTTGGCTGGTCCAGGGTGATTCTCTTGGACAGAAGCCAGGCTGCAGCTAAGAGCCAGCAAAGCACATGCCAGACTGTCAGTGACTAGCATCCAGGAATGAAGGAAGAGGGAGGATGACAAAGGGTCTGGTATGTGTCATCGCACTGCTGTTACAGAAAGTAGGAAATCCCGCCTGCTGCAGCCTTCTCAACCAGGTCTTGAAAGGGGTCAGTGCCCTGACCTTGTACCTATGTGCACTTCTCTGCTGCTGCACATGACAGGGCTGCCTTACAACATGTTCCATGTCTAGAGGTGCCATGGCACCATTGGTTCATAGGCTTCAGAGTTGGATCTCAGAATGAGGCTGACCCTGCTACTCACCACCCATTACCTACCTGTGCTGAACCTCAGTTTCACCATAGATTCAATGCAAATGATTACAAAAATTAAATATCCCCTTATTACTTAATTCACATAAAACCACAGCATAATAAATACCATGTGAAAATGCTCCAGGATTTTTTTTAAAGAGGTGTTGAAACTATTTTATGAGTGACAATAAATTTAGGAGATGGTGATTTATCTCATGGGCTTGTTTGTTTTTGTACCAAGGATTAAATCCAAGGCTAACCATTGAGCCACATCCCCAGCCTTTTTTATTTTTTATTTTGAGACAGGATCTCACTAAATTGCTTAGGGCCTCACCAAGTTGCTGAGGCTGGCCTCAAACTTGCAATTCTCCTGTTTCAAGCCTCCCAAGTTGGATTACAGCCTGCACCACCTCACCTGGCTCATAGGTTTTCTCTGTATAATTGGGGGCAGGAATTATCTTTTGGGGAGTTACTTGGTAAGAAAATTCTTGATCATTGTCCTGTCAGATGGGGAAGAAGATGATTGTGTATTGGAATGAACTGGGTTTGGAGTCAGTCCCCGAAGTGACTCAAGCATGGGAGCCATGAGTGTTTCAAGCTGCAGCAGCCTGTGGGTAATTAATGGGCTCTGAGTGGAGGGACAGTGGGACTGATGAAGAACTTCCCACTTTGGAACTGCTTAACACTTTATTGGGAAATAATCCAAATATTATCATTGTGTTGAGTTCTACACATGCATGCTATTGAAAGTGTCATTATTAATAATTTACACTATTTACAGTTTGAAACCATGAAGATAAAAACAGTATTTCTTTACATTTGCATTAAATATACTTGACCCTTTTCCCATGATCTCACAGAATCCTCTTATTTCTTCTGGACTGTTTCACATTCTTTGCTTATTTTCATGTGTAGGATTACCTTTTTGTGATCTGGAATAGCTCATTTATATTCATGATCAACTCCTCTGTCTTTCTCCTGCCTACAACTTACCAATTTTTTCTTGACTTTTAGACTTTTAATTTACCATAATTTCACGATATTTTATTGACCCTTGCTTTTAAAATTTACAACAGTTTAATATTTTTATGCAACTCAAGTTATTGTGGGTTTTTTCTCCTTATAATTACTTTCATTGTTTTTAGGCTTAAAAGTACCCCCCATTTAAAAATTAATTTAAAATGTCCCTGTATTTTCATACATATCTTTGGGCATGGTTATTCTGATAATAGGCTTAAATGTTATAAATTGGTTCAGCCTTTATAGAAAATGTATTTGTAATATGTATCAAAACACACTAATGAGTTGTCATTCTTTGCCCCAGTAATTCTACTTCTAAGAATCTAACAAGAAAATGACTGGGCATGTGGTCAAGGATTTCTACACAAAGACACTCATCCCAGTGGTGTTTGTAATAGCAAAAAAATGAGAATAATTTAAGAGTCTCTCATGTGTGGGGTAAATATTATACAGCTACACTATCTCATGTGGTAACCATTAGCTATTCAAATTTAAACTTATTGAAATTAAATAAAATAAAAAATTCAGTTTCCTGGTTGCAATAGCCACATTTCACATGTTCAACAGCTATATGTGATGAGTGGCTACCAGATTTGACAGCATAGGGATGGAATATTTCTGTTCTCATAGAAGTTTCTATTAGGTAGTACTGCTCCATGACCATTAAAATCAGGTTTTTAAAGAATATTTAATAACAAGATGCATTCAAGATATGATGGTAAACAAAAGTATCAGAATACAAAATATATGGTGATAACAGGGATTTAGGTTGGTTTTAGTAACTTTCTTCATTAAGTTAAATTAGTTCAGAGGAAACCCAAACCCTGTCCTCATGATACAGAAAGAGAAAGAGGAAAGAAAATCCAAGACACATAGATGCTCAAGAATTAAATGAAATACATGGAGAAATCTACCATATGACACCTACTTAGTAACTGTTTATTGATTGAAGATACAAGTGGGAAATGTCATGCTAGATTACACAAAAGACCGATTAGCACAGTATTCTGTGGCCAACAATAGCTTTGGTTGTCCTACCAATGTTCATTATGTAGCCACCAAAGTCACAAATACAACTTGGGCAGCAAATGGCACCTAAGAACTTATATAAAGCAAAAAACCTTTCAGAATACTTTCTACATATGGAAAGACCATGAAGCCTCTCCAAAACATCAATAAATAATTACATACTATGAAAGAGTACTTCACTATGGTGTGATTGAAACTTCGGGAAAAACTTGAGAAAACTACAGGCAATTTGGCCCCAGTCTTCCCACTGAGAATATCTCAAAAGCCAGAGAAAATGTATTTATTTAAATCTTGAAATCGTGTTTCAGTAATCTCAAGCACTCCAACTTTGAGCCATCTGGGTTCCCAGAAAAATCTTGAGCCCAGAATAAGGTCTGAAGAATCCCAGATTACGCGCTTAACAGAAACAAGTCAAAACTTTCTCTAGAAGAACACACCATAATACCAGGGCTCAATACAGTTTTACCAACAATTTCTAAAATTTAATGTTCATTATTCAATCAAAGATATCCAGTCACATAAGGCAAGAAGATGAGAGAGAATAAAAACAGCCCCTAAGAGGCTCCAAAGTTTAGATTTATTAGACACAGACTTTAAGAACATTACTGTACTTGGGAAAATTTTAAAAACATTATTAAAAAAAACTTTGTAAAATAACTGAAAATTCTTTTAAAAATGACTAGACAGATTTGAGAAATATTTGAAAACAAATAGGATTTCTAAAGCTAAAAAGTACAATAACCAAAATAACTCAAGAGATGAGTCTAACAATCACTTAGACATATCTGAACAGAGTATTTGTGAACTGGAAGATAGGTATGAAATGAAGCATGGGTAAGTTGGAATATATAAAAGAGAATGTGGAAAACAGAGAAGAATAAAAACTCTAACATTGGAATCACACATGGAAAAGTGAACTTCCGAGATTATGACTGAGAACATAATGAATCCACAAATTCAGGAGGTTCTATGAACTTGAGGCAGAATAAATAGAAAGAAATTCACCCTAAAATCACCATGTTAAAATGATAGAAAACTAAAGACAAAGGAAAATCTTAAAAGTAGTCAATAATTAAAATTCCCTTAGAGGAAAAACAGTTTAAGTTTTTACTGACTTTTTCAATAGCAAAAATGGAAGCCAACCTAAAATTCCATATCCAGTAAAAATGCACTTGAAAAAAATGAAGGGAAGTAAATAATTCTCTGGCCAACAAAAACTGGGAGAATTCTTCACAAAAAACCTACAATGTTAAAGATTTTAACACGATTAATGGATGTTCTTCAGGCAAAAGGAAAGTACTTTTAGACAGAAGATCAAGAATGAGAAGTTATACACCATTCATGTATGATGGGTCAAAATGCATTCCACCGTCACATAGAATTAGAATTTAAAAAAAGATACAGGAAAGAAGGAAAAGCAATAAAAATGGAAGAGTTGGCAAAATAAACTTGAATGAGATGTGATGTTGAAGAGGAATACAGAGCTATTTTTCAGGGTGAGGTTAACTTTTGCCTATATTAATTAGAACTCATATTTAGCTATACTCTGATGAAAAATATTTAAAGCAATTTTACCATAAAAAAGATCTGTCAATCTTCTATCAAAGATCTGTCAATTTACTGCATGATTCTAAAAATACAAATGATCCAAGAAATCATTTATAAAGTAATAGTCAACTGAGAAAAATATTTGCAATACTTCATTAGCTGTAATAGAGTCCATTACATATGGAGTGGGATCTTTGGTGGAAACAGGTGGATATGGGTTCTTAAGAGCTTTGAGGTACTATTTAACACATCAGGTTGTATATATACGATTAGTTAAAAAATAGTTAATGAATTTAAAAAGAAAAGATAAAGACCTCACTCAATTTTTAATGAATGTAGAGTTATAAATGATCTGGCATCCTGTAGCTCTCAATTCACCTTATAAAAGTTGTGGATATATTACAAATAGCCCAAATGATATTTATGATACCAAAGTAAGATAAGGAATCATCTTTTCTAATGATTTGTTTTTTAAAAAAATGTAAATAGTTGTATTTTCAGGATAACTTAATTTCTCAGCAGAGTACATGGCCCCTTAATCCCTTTCAGCCCTCGAATTTTAAGATTCACTGCAAATTCTGTGAAAATATCAATCCTGAATTATGGAGACCTGAATTCCTTATTCTAAGGCTATGCCAGGGGGACTTCCAATGATCCTACTCTGTTATTCTCCAAGGAATCATCACTGAGCAGAATCATTCTGTGGACAATGGCTGTGTGGTTGAGTGGTCCTCTCAGTGTATTCCTTTGTCTCACGTTATCCACTCTGCCAGTGCCCTATGTCAAGGTGTTTCTACAGCATGTCCCTCTGCTCTCTTAAAAACCAACATGCTAGAACAATGGTTTACATCCATGGCTTAAATTAATCAATTAGGAATGTTCTCTGTGGTTAGGAATAGCTGCATGATAAAGCAGATATCTGGCAGCAACTGAAATTTTATTCACAAGGCAGATCACTGTCCCAGAAAAACCTGAGACAGGAAAAAAATAGGCAGGTGGCACTCACTTACCTGCCGGAGTTTGGTTCCCACCATAGAGGCACTGGTGTCAAGAACAAAAACCACATTCTTGGGCAAAGGAGGAAGGTCTTTGGGAGCAAAGTAGTGCACAAAATAGCCATTTAGAACCTGGTAAGGAAAAACAAAGTAAAAAATGGTAGTACTCAGAGTAGGGAGGAAAATTATCCAAAATAGTTAATCTATGGAGCTTTTAAAACTAAAATGGCATGAAATAGTCTAGGGTCACATTCCACACCCAAAGCAAAATTATCTGTGGCTCTGATCCCTCTAAGGGAACCAGATGCTAATCAATCCCTATAAGGATAGAATCATCCCTTTAAAATTTATTGATCAGTGGATTGAGAGTGTAAGTACAGAGTGCTTGTCTAGCATGAGTGAGACCCTGGATTTAAATCCCCAGCACTGAAAAAAGAAAGTATTGATCATGACAACCCATTCAACTTTAACTATCTGTCTCATTCTGACCTTGCCACGTGTGAATCCTACTTTTTTCATTATCTAGTTTTTATCAAGCATTGTACGCATTGAGACATCAAGGTTGTCAACATTCTGGATGCACATTAATATATTTTAATATTCCCACCCTGTCTCTGGAGCAATAAAACCTAAAGGGAAATAAGCTGTGGAACAGTCTCCTTTAATTAAAATTGAAGATGAACTAAAATTCCAACCTCATCTAAAACACCACAGGGAAAATTACATTTTAGATTTCATTAGCTGTCCAGATTACTGGAGCAGGAAATAGGTACCCTCAGCTTCCAGCAAGGATCATCTCTAGTTTCTTTGAAGACATATTTTGGGGTAAAACAAATTTACAAAGAACCAAAAAGAGCTTTTGCCCTTAGCTAAATATCAAAATCAATAGTTCTGAGTCTAACAAAAAGCTACCAATATGAAATAGCAACACAAAGCCTGGTACCTGGATGTCTCCAATGCTCTTTTCTCTATTGACATCATATCGAATGATGAAATCTCCCAAAATTCCATTCTGGGCAATCTTGGCTTGTTGTACCACAGTAGGCTTAAAAACGACCTTGGCAAAAGTTTCATTTTGGTTGATAGCAGTAGAAGGAGGTGGCCCCAAATCATCTGCAGATAACACATTAACATCATAAATAACAATATAAAAGTATTTCCCTAAAAAGAAGTAAGAGTCAATATTGTATAAACAAAGAGGGTTAGACTTCATCTTACTGCAGGTGTACAGATCATATAACCTTCTGAGACTTTGTGTTACTAACATACCACAATGTAAGAGATATGCTATCGTATATTTCACTGTTATGGCTCCTTTCTGAACCTTTTATGAAAATTGTTAAAATGCACAAAAGTAGAAAGAATAGCAATATGAACCCCCTATGTATCCATCACTCAACTGAAACAATTAGCAACATTCTGCCAATTGCTTGTATCTACTTTTATTTCAGCTTTTTTCTAGATCATTTTATAACAAATTTCAGACATCATATTCCATCCAAATATTTCAGTAACAAAAGAATATTTTCCTATCATAACTACAAAACCATTATCACAAGTAACAAAGATAATGCTTGATGTCTTATTATTGTCTAATACTCAGTCTTAAAGTTCTCTTAAAAATGTCATGGTGTGGTTGATTTGTCTGAATCAGGTTCAAAACAAAATCCCCACATCATATTTGGTTAATGTTTCTTAGAATGTCTTTAAATCTCAAGTGTCCCTTCCCTCTATATCTCTTCTTTTTGAAATATGTGTGTGTGTGTGTGTGTGTGTGTGTGTTATGATGTTATGGTGTGGATATGAAGAACAGTCAGTGCCGCAGTCCGGCTGCAGCAAAATAACTGGGGGGTGACGAGCAACTTGTGTACGTTGATACAGCAGGAGTGGGAGCCATTTATTGCAGGACAGGAGCAGTATTTATACATTCCACACAGCTTATCTTAATTAGCATAAACTAGATACATCAGTCAACCAATAAGAAATCTCCACACTTAAGGGCTCGCTGGCGTTACTTCACAAACCACTCCCTCTGGCATTTTGCCAGGCGCCATCCAGACTTGTTTACAGACCCTAACATTTCTCTGGCAAAATGCCAGGCGCCATCCTGACTTGTTTACAGACTCTAACAAGTCAGAGGTGAAATGACTGGATTATGTGAGCTATCCTATTTTGAAAGGATCAACTATAGGCAAGGGGGGGCGTGGCTAGAGGAGGTCACTGGGGGTGTGTGTCCTGGAAAGGTGAATCTTTCCTGTAGCACTTAGTCCCACCCCACCTCTCTGCTTCTTTGCTACCTTGAGAGGAGCAGCTTCTCTCCAGCACATCCTTCCCCCATGATGTACTGCCTCATCTCAGGCTCAGAGCAATGGAATTGGCCATCTATGGAATGAAAACTCTGAAACCATGAGCCCCAAATGAGTTTTTCCTTAAGTTGTTCTTGCTGGGTATTTCGGTCACAGTGATGCCAAACCTAACTAAAACTATACACACACATACATATATACATACATATATATCCTGCTCATTGAACTTGTTCCTCTCTTCTGCTGACACTGTAATATTTGGAGGAGCTATTAAAAAAATATTGATGCCCAGGCCCATAGAGTCTCATTAAATTGTTCTGAGATGAAGACTAGGCATTAGGTCTTTGAAAAACTGCCCATGTGATTCAAATGTGCAGTTAGTTGTGAGCACCACCGCTCAATCCCCTGTGTTCACTGGTGTTCTGGAAGTCAGAGCTGGAAGCTTGATTATTCAGGTTTGATGCTACTGAACTACTTCATAGGTGATGAAGATTTCATAGGTGAAGTATCTTCATGGAACACCTTCTAGGTGATGGCAAGCTCTTTCTACTCCATCACACTAGATGGTACACAATATCTCCCTGTCTACTTTTAGTGGTACCAATAATGACAACATGCAGGTGTTGTGGGCCTGACCCTCATCCCCTTAAAAAGTTCAGACATTCTGCAGTGATAGTACACTTAATACTTTTACCAATGACTGATGAAAGCTAGGTCCACTAATTCATTAGATCTACAAAATGATGACTTCAAATTCTGTCATTTCTTCCATATGGAAGAATTAGTCCATAAAGAAAGCCTTTCGCTCATGAATCATTCAGTTGCCCTAACACACTCTTGTCCAGGAAGCATATGGTTGTTTAAAAAAAAAAAAATCCCCAAAGTTTTCCCCAAAGTGAGTCTTAGGATACGAATTAGAATTACAAAAAGATTATCAGAAGAATGAATTTTGTGTAATTTATTTAAAACTAGCACAATGAGATACTAAGCAAAGAGAATCCCATTTTTACTTCTGAGCTTCAGTTCCTACTAGACCACAAGAACTATTTAGCAGACTACCACGGTTATAAGTGCAAACAATACCAGCCTATGTACTTAGCAATAAAAACCCATATTTTGAAATATGAATGCATCATAAGTAGTATAAAAATAAGATTTAAAATAAAAATAAGATTTCCTAGTCAAAATGAAAATAAGAATTCTTAATCATAAGTATATGTGCAGGGATTTTTTTTATCCATATATGGAATCAAAGCCAGGTTTAAATTGCTATAAGTGTCTGATTATTTTTGAAAATCTATTCAAGTTGATAACATGGAATAGGCTGACCACTAATTTCCCATCTTCAATTAGCAGAATAAAAAAAGGAAATGAAGCATAAATGGCCCCAGTAATTTGTACTTAAGAATAAACTTCTATCTGCTAAGGGTTTATTAGACACTAAAGTCAAAGGAAGTTTAAACACTTCCTTCAACAGAGCAGACAGTTATTTTTCAGAGACAATTTAGGTGTAACCTTAACAGGAACCTCAGGACTAAACTGATTCTATTATTTGCATTTAACAAGGGCAGGGATTTTGGAAGTGATCAGAGAGTTTGCAAAATATAGTTTTTTTTTTAAAGAAAAAGAAATCACAGAAGAAACAAACTCCTTCCAACAAATCTTTTCATTTGAAGGAGTTAGAAAAAATCAAGATGGCACATTGACAAGTGTCCCCATGCAGTTTACTGGCACAGCTGAAGAAGCCTCAGGACCATCACATAATAGGAAGAAAAGAGCGCTGAAAATGGAAAGGCCCTTGAAGAGAGGAAACTGTAGTTCTCTGGGATCAATGTCACCATGGTGACCACTGGTAAAGCACCAAGAATGAGAGTCATAGCAACATGTAGCTAAGAGCTCAGGGTCATAAGTCAGAAGGACTAACATTCAAATACTGATTCCACTTCTTATTAGCTGTGAGACCTTTTGCACATTACTGAGCCTTAGTTTCTCATCTCTACAACAAATTAATAGGAGTGCCAATATAACATTATTGACCAGATGAAGTGACATAAGGTATTTGGTACCATTCTGGTTCATGGTAAGCAGTCATGCCAGCTAACAACCTTAAACATATACAAAATAGAAGAAGGAATTAAATAGAAGACTGTAAGGTATGTCAAACTTGGGATACTACATAGCAATAAAAATGAAAGGCTCACTATTGCTATTGACAACATGGTTGAATCTCATGGTCATGTTGATTGAAAACACCAAATACAAAACCGTGTATCTTCTACACATCCATTGACATGAAGTTTAAGAGCAAACATACTTGCTGGCTCACAGCAACTGAAGTACACCCATTGTTCCTTTGGTGGATTGGTACTGACTGGAAAGAACACAAAGGAAATTCTGGGGTGATGAAAATGTCCTGAATCTTGACGTGCAAGGTAGGTAGTTGTATGGATATGTTTATATACAATCACTCATCAAGCTGTACACAAAATATTAGTATACTTTATTCTGTTTCCCAGAATCTCTTAAGGTTTGAACTTGGGAGCCAGATGGCAGAATAGTCTGAACAGGCATGGAACCTATTATAATTGGCCAAACAAATGCCTGTTTTTTTTTTTTCCCCCCTTGGGTAAACATGTTAGTGTAGGCATTTATATGGAGACTAGGTGTATCCAGAGAAATCCCAGCTGGCAGAAATTGGACCAGGCACAGAGTTGTGGGGCAGCACTTTTCAGCACGGTACTAGCCAACTGTAAGATGTTTATTGGTGCAGGCAGCTCTCACCACTCAGCTCATTAGAGGTGTTTGAGAAAACTCTGCAGTAATCACCTGCAAGGACCGTGGTAGAGGGGACATCGTAGTGTGACCTTGCCCCAGCAGCAGCACCACCACCTGGAAGCTGGCTAGAAGTTCCAGTTCTTGGACCCACCCTAGAAACTGCAAGTCTGAAGCTGGGAATGGGACTCAGCAATGTGTGTTTTTAACAAGCCCTCCAAATGATTCCAGTTTCTGCTTAGAAAATAGACATGTTCCTTACACACAGTTGATGCGTCTTACATATAAAAAATTGCCGATAAAATTTGTTGTATGTAATTAGGCAGTGCTTAGATTATCTCTAAGATTCTGCAATAATTAGATTTGATTCTTCTTTATGCTGCCAGCGTGTACCTACTTTGTCTTGCTTCAGATCTCTCTCATGAAAATGTTTCTTACAAGTACCCTGAATTAATACATTCATGGTCGAATGAAAGTACTGGGGATTAAAAAGTATAATTTTTCTCTTCATAATTCATTTGACTAGGCTCTTTGATATGGACCATGAGAAAGGATAGTGTATTATTATTTTCGCTTCCTATTGACCTCGGTGTTTGTTCATTCATGATGAAAATTCATGAGCTTCATCTAAATGGGCTTATTTTACATGAAGAGTGGAGTGATTCTTGATCTGATTACGCACCAAGAAGCTGAGCTCTTGATGCATTTGCCCGTTAAGCACCAGTTAGTAAAAGTGACCAAATGAATTTTCCATTACCTATTTTAAAAAAAAATCTACAGAGAACAATTCCCAGAGTCATATCTCTAGAAAGTAAAATCCCCTTTTTGGGGGGGAAGGAGGATCTGCTAATTATGTTAGTATAGGTTCTTCTTAGAGCTACTGACCAAAACCCCAAAGCACAACAATGCTGCTTCGCCTTCTTTAGTGGGAACGGTGTTCACACTGCGGACAGCCACATGGTGTTTCCTGGGCACAATGGGCTGTATTAGCAGGGCACTTGGCATTCTGGGACATGTTCCACAGACAATGAGGAG